TATTATTGCCTCGGTTTGTGTGCCCGTGTGCACGTATTTCAAGGCGTCTCATTTTCATTGCATTCATGCATTTTCTCGATTTGCGTGCCCGTGTGCACGCATTTTGAGGCACTTCATTTTTATCCGCCGGCATCCTATGTGAGTGTGGCTGAGGCTCACTCATGTTGGTATAAGCCCATATCATGTTTCCATGTCATTCGCATTGTGTATGCCATTGCCTCGGTTTGCGTGCCCGTGTGCACGCATTTCGAGGCACTTCATTTTTATCCAACGGCATCCCATGTGAGTGTGGCTGAGGCTCACTCATGTTGGTATAAGCCCATATCATGTTTCCATGTCATTCGCATTGTGTATGCCATTGCTTCGGTTTGCGTGCCCGTGTGCACGCATTTCGAGGCACTTCATTTTCATCAATCGGCCTCTTATATGGGTGTGGCTGAGGCTCTCTCATGTTAGTATAAGTTCATGTTGCATTTTCCATGCCATTTTAGCTACATTGCATTGCATATACCATCGCCTCGGTTTGCGTGCCCGCGTGTACGTATTTCGAGACACGTATCATTGCCTCGGTTTGCGTGCCCGCGTGCACATATTTCGAGACACATATTATTGTCTCGGTTTGCGTGCCTGCGTGTACGTATTTCGAGACACATATCATTGCCTCGGTTTGCGTGCCCGCGTGCACGTATTTCGAGACACGTATCATTGTCTCGGTTTGCGTGCCCGCGTGCATGTATTTCGAGACACATATCATTGCCTCGGTTTGCGTGCCCGCGTGCACGTATTTCGAGACACATATCATTGCCTCGATTTGCGTGCCCGCGTGCACATATTTCGAGGCACCTCATTTTCATAGCATTCTCCTGTTTTTTCGGTTTGCGCGCCCGTGTGCACGTATTTCGAGGCCTCTCATTTTCATTGCATTCTGCCATTTTCTCGATTTGCGTGCCTGCACGCACGCATTTCGAGGCACCTCATTTCCATAGCATTGTGTATGTTAGGATTATATCTTAGTTGCATTTCATGCATATCATGCATATTACATTGTGTCCGGAATAGGAGTTAGCCCGGGCACGGGAAACGAGGTACGTTTCGTACTCATGCATATTGCATCGTGTTCGGGATAGGAGTTAGCCCGGGCCCGGGAAACGAGGTACATTTCGTACTTCGAGTGACGGAATGTGTCTCAATTCCCCCAGTCACCGACACTCCGGATTGTCCATGATGGAGTTAGGTTTTAGCTGTGTTTTCATGTGCATTCATCCTATATTGAGTTGTGCATTTCGACTCCTCTGCCATCATGCCTCGGTATGCGTGATTGGTGGCACGAGGATCGAGACATGCATATATTTGTGCAAATACATTGCTATGCCCCTTTCCTGCTCTCTGTTGCAGCAAAACCAGGAATCAGCAACTTTCCGGGACTTGGCACGCTTTTCAAGAATAACAGGTGTAAACAGAGGCTAATTGGGGCATTCCGGTGGATTTCTGCGCAAGACAGTCCGGACATGCATCATCCACCAGAAGCAAGGCAGTCCCTAGCTTGCATGCCAGTTTTATTTGCTTTCTTAGTTAATTTGTAAATTAATTAGGAATTTGTACATATTCGAACTATAATATTTGGACTGTAATATTCTTTTATTTGGGACTGTATATTTATTCGGACCCTCTGTGCGAGGGCCACAACTGTAATAAGTGTGTGTGTGTGTGTTGTATGTTTTCCAACCCCACGTCTTTCTCCCTTTTATTTATCCACTTTTGATGGTTAGATTAGGGCATTTTTAAATTAGCATACAGTATGACAGCATGTTTTGCATTCATTCATCTGTATTGCATGCACCGGGCTCGACGCATCATACTAACTGCATTGTACTCTCAATTTCAAAGTTGAATACATGTTAGCTGTAGCATTCCATATGCCATTTTAGAATAGCCGAGCCTGCTATAATTGCATTTTCGCATGTGTTGCATTAGGCATTTCTGTACACTTAGGATCATGCATGATTTCTAATAAATTCCTTATTTTGGCTGGCAGTACTCGGTAAGTTTTATTGTTTAGCATCCTTACATGTGTGTGAGGACTGCCATGAATGCCAGCTTACCATGAGGCTATGTGCTTATGTGAAATATCTTGCCTGAATTGCCTGTGGCTGAAGGTTGGTTACTTGAATTAAGGACAATTCATCAAATGTTTGTTTTAAGCCCA